GTACTTTGAAGCATTTTGAATACATTTTAATGACTGAGACTGAGGGGTAATAGACATTACCAAAGTTCTTCTTTAGCCAATGAAAAATTCTTCCACTGTTTGAAAATAACGCAAGGGTTTTCAGAGGTAAATGTTTTATAAAATTATCAGTGTATTAGATACTACCAAGGTCATTCAAATTTTTGTATTAACATCAGGTTTAACATCAATATATAATTAGATTAAATCAACAACAACAACTTCTCAAAAAAACCTCATATGATTTTCAGTGTATTATTAGAAATTGTTAAAAAGTTAAAGATAAATGTATTCATACCCATATCCTTTTTGTGGGAGACTCTGGAAAAGAGTCCATGCAAGATTGAGCTGATCATCACGTTCACAGTTATAAATACAGTCAATGGCAATGGAAAACACCTGCTGAACATCTCGGATTATTGCATCAGGTTTCTGAACACAATATACAAACAAAAATGTTAACTGAATTTACCCAAGAACAACCATGGTAATCCACTACTTGATAAGAAGAAAGTAATTTTCACGTGCACCAAAAACAGGAAACAAGGGATAGACAGTTTTATGCCCCCTCTTACTGGATGCAATATTTTACAATGCCATTAGCAATTGGGTTTGGGCAGTACTGTTAAAATCTATTATCTATTAACTATTAACCGTGACTTTGATTACAATTTTGAAAATAAGTTCGAAACTACAAAATCAGGCGTGTTTTGTTGTGAGTAATAAATATGGTGAGTTCAAACTGAAATCTCAACAACAATTTGCAATTCTAAAATCACTGAGACTACCAGAATGAAATCATGATCTGAATACAGTTCAAATTACAATGAATTCAGTTTGGGAAACAAAAATCACTGCCAACTCAACTTTGAGTCATTTCTCTTCATTGGCATGACATGATACTGACATCTTTGAATTGCAGAAAACCATTTTGGCAATCTACTATAGTAAAAGTTATCATTTTACCCAGGATGTAAGAAACATGGCTGCCAATGCTATTAGTACACTTGTGATGGTGTGGTTGGTACTTACATCAGGTCTTGAGTTTTCAAAGATCATCACTGGAAAAGTTAGATCATCCTAGAAACCAGAGAAATATTGGATATGCTGAGGAATGATAAAACACAGAGGTGTAGGAGTACTGTTACGAATATTTGCCATAGATACCAGGTATAACCTTAGCATAGTTTGTGCACTCCCTTGTTTCATTCTATCATACCTCTGTAGAAATGGTATCAACCATATTCTTTAAAAGACATTGCAATTTTTTTTGAAACACTGGATAATGAAGGGTTTGTAGGGAACAACATTTTCTACAAATAAAAATTAAGGGTCCCCATCTTTTTAAATTGTAATCAAGTCTTAATAGTTGCTACTCTGCATAGTGAGAATAACATAGGGTATTGTCCTAGTCAATGAATATAAACAACAGAAAACCTGAGAATGTCCATCATGACAAGTCATTTCTTATGTAGGGTAGATGAAGGAATTACAAAACAACTAGATGGAATATAATAATTGACTGTTTTTTAGAAACAAGCTATTGAATACATACACAATGTAGGAGTACTGTTACCAACCTTTGCCATAGATACCAGGTATAACCTTAGCAATGTTTGTGCACTCCCTTGTTTCTTTCTATCACACCTCTGTAGAAATGGTACCAACCACTGTCTTACATTCTTAATGTACATATCTTTTGTTGGCTGTAAAAATAAAGTTTTGGATGACATGTCAAAAGATGACACACTTTCATAAGCTTTAGCTACACAAGTAATTGCATTACATTGTCTCTGTGACTTTAAGATACATATAGAGTTTGAACAAGAATGATCTGAACTACATTTATTGAACAAAATGGCCAGCAGGCAGCCATTTTTAATCTGGAAAACAAAATGAATCACGATCCTATAATGTTATGTGTTTGTACCACATTGGAATGAAATCTTCCTATACACTACTAAGATCAAGTTCCAAAATGACAGAAATGCTTGATTTTGATGAATTTTTAAAATTAAAGTGGCTGCAATTCAACCAATTTTGTTCTAACCTGATACAAAGACTAATATTAAAGGCTGGAAACAGTTGTTTTGTGAAATAGATGACAAACCTACCTTTGCCATCAACATCTGTAATTTCTCAATATCACTCAATTCTCGAAACTCTTCAAAAGTAATAGCAGGCTCGGTGCCACATTCATAAACCAGTGTTTCCATAGTAACCAAGTCAGTGTGAAGATCATTCAAGTCCTGCAGTATACAAACAAATATTGTCAATTGATGATTTCAGTAAAGTTCCACAAATGGCTCACTGCATGCAATTATAAATATCTAACCAAGTGTACACTAGTATAATAGTGTCTGTTTCAAATGACGATGCTATGTATTACCTAATGTGAGTAATTAGTCATAAAGATTTAGATAGACGAATTATGAAAAATAAAAATAAAATAGTGACTGATGTACTTGTAACTGCTGAAGCACTAAAATGACTTTGCAGGGACTTTGGTGAGACATTAAACATTCTATTGTGATTCACAATAAATGACAGAAAATGACAGTGAAGTAAATATTATTATTACCTGTGCATGTTGCCCACATTTGATCTGTTTCACATGCTGATCAGTGTTTTATTTGTTACATCAGTTATATTTTTAATAAGCTTTTGTAATTGTGTCAAACTTACTGAGATATTTCTTTCAATACCCAAATTAATCAACTCCAGAGCATTGTCAACCTGTCTGGAAAATTGTTCAATTTCACAGGCACGAAATTTATACCATTCTGTCAGTAACTTATCACTGGGGTTGGTAGTCCTGTTGGTGGAACAATATCAATATTTGCAATAATTAACAACATATTCTGATACAATAGAAACAGATTGGTTTAAACTACTGACATCACAGTGTATTGCATACTGACATCACAGTGTGCTGGTCTATACTGACATCGCAGTGTGCTGGCCTACTAACATCGCAGTGTGCTGGCCTACTGACATCGCAGTGTGCTGGCCTACTGATGCCACAATGTGCTGGCCTACTGACATCGCAGTGTGCTGGCCTACTGACATCGCAGTGTGCTGGCCTACTGACATCGCAGTGTGCTGGCCTACTGACATCGCAGTGTGCTGGCCTACTGACATCGCAGTGTGCTGGCCTACTGACATCGCAGTGTGCTGGCCTACTGATGTCACAGTGTGCTGGCCTACTGATGTCACAGTGTGCTGGCCTACTGATGTCACAGTGTGCTGGCCTACTGATGTCACAGTGTGCTGGCCTACTGATGTCACAGTGTGCTGGCCTACT